TCAGTATTTCGACAAGCTTTTAGTAGACGTGGACGAAGAGACGCTCAGTCCCGAAGAACAGAAAGAAAGAAAGATTATGAAGTTGTTGTTAAAAATAAAAAATGGTACACCTCCGATGCGTAAAGCTGCCTTGAGACAAATTACCGACAAAGCGAGAGAATTCGGTGCTGGTCCGCTTTTCAATCAAATCCTACCACTTCTCATGTCACCCACTCTCGAGGATCAGGAACGTCATTTACTCGTAAAAGTTATCGATCGAATTCTCTATAAGCTCGATGATTTAGTGCGACCGTACGTACACAAGGTAATTATTTTTGTCATTTTGTCATATAATTTTTATTTAATTTTATTGTACTTCATTTATTCATGATCAATATTTAGATTCTAGTTGTTATCGAGCCTTTATTGATTGACGAAGACTACTATGCTCGTGTCGAAGGCAGAGAAATCATTTCTAATTTAGCCAAGGCTGCGGGATTAGCGACAATGATTTCCACAATGAGACCGGACATCGATAATATCGACGAATACGTACGTAACACGACGGCTAGAGCATTTGCCGTTGTCGCATCTGCTCTTGGAATCCCTTCGTTACTTCCGTTTTTGAAAGCTGTTTGTCGCAGTAAGAAATCTTGGCAAGCGAGACATACTGGTATCAAGATCGTGCAGCAAATAGCTATCCTCATGGGCTGTGCAATTTTGCCACACTTGAAGAGTTTGGTGGAGATTATAGAACATGGTAAATATATAAGTTAACATGACAATCTTTTTTGCAATTAAATTTTTTATAATCTTCATGTGTTTGTTATATTCTTAGAATTTTCTTCTTCAGAGAATAATTATGGAATAAAAAATTACAGGTCTGGTGGATGAACAACAAAAAGTACGAACCATTACTGCGTTAGCTATTGCCGCGTTAGCTGAAGCTGCAACGCCATATGGTATCGAAAGTTTTGACTCAGTACTGAAACCTCTATGGAAAGGTATTCGAACACATAGAGGTAAAGGTCTAGCTGCATTCCTAAAAGCTATCGGTTATCTCATCCCGCTTATGGACGCAGAATATGCGAATTATTATACTAGGGAAGTAATGCTTATCCTTATACGTGAATTCCAGTCGCCCGACGAGGAAATGAAAAAGATTGTATTAAAGGTATTAAAATTATATCTATATGTGTCACTTATATGATTTGTAAATTATGATTGTATACTTGTAGCTGTATAAACATAATAAGCTTTTAAATTTCGTTATAAGGAAATTTTACTGTGTCCTAAAATTTATTTTGTTATACAGGTAGTTAAACAATGTTGCGGAACAGATGGTGTGGAAGCACAGTATATAAAAGATGAAATTCTACCTCACTTTTTTAAACATTTTTGGAATCATCGTATGGCATTGGATCGCAGAAATTACAGACAGGTAATCGAAAAATTTTAAAAGCATATGATATGTATGTATATTGTAGCATAATTGAATTTATCTATATACGTATCATAAATTATACAACGTAAAACTTTTTTAATGCATGGTTTTATACAGTTTCTAAATATATCTTAAAGATCGAATTAGTCAACCATACATTTTGTGTATGTGTGTGTAGATGTTATTATACACAATTTTATATATAATAATTTCTGTAACAAAATATACAGTAAAATTAATGAAATGTAAAATAACAGCTTGTAGATACTACTGTGGAAATAGCTAACAAAGTGGGCGCCTCAGAGATCATCAACAGAGTAGTGGATGATTTGAAAGATGAAAATGAACAGTATAGAAAAATGGTGATGGAAACTATCGAGAAGATAATGGGTAATTTGGGAGCGGCAGATGTCGATTCTCGTTTGGAAGAGCAGCTCATCGACGGCATTTTGTACGCTTTCCAGGAGCAAACGACCGAGGTTTGTTAAGAATTTGACAAGCTTTATAAGAATTGTACAATAAATTGTAAAACAAATTAAACAATTACATAAAAATAACAAATTAATGGTTAATTATAGTGAATAGATAACTTAATCTTTTCCGTAGGATGTTGTCATGCTCAATGGTTTTGGTACAATCGTCAACACGTTAGGTAAAAGAGTAAAGGCGTACCTTCCACAGATATGTGGTACAATATTATGGAGATTGAATAACAAATCTGCAAAGGTTAGACAGCAAGCTGCAGATCTTATTTCACGTATTGCCGTGGTTATGAAGACTTGTCAAGAAGTAAGAGAAACATTATGGATGATAATTTTTTATTTTGCGATTCTTGTAGCTTGGAATAAGTTTATGACAAATACAATATTTCTAGGAAAAACTAATGGGACATTTGGGTGTCGTCTTGTATGAGTATTTAGGCGAGGAATACCCAGAAGTATTAGGTAGTATTTTGGGAGCCTTGAAAGCTATAGTAAATGTCATAGGAATGACGAAGATGACACCACCTATCAAGGATTTATTGCCAAGGCTGACACCAATCTTGAAGAACAGACACGAAAAGGTAAAAATCGAATTTTTCGTACTTGCTATAATTTTATATAAATTTTATCGTTGCATGTGGAAAAACTTTTGTCGAAGTGTTTTACGAATGGATTGTGTCAGACATATCTAGGTAGCAAAGTGACGTCTAAAGACATCATTAAGATGTCATTAAGACGTCATAGACATCTTAATGATGTCTAAATGACGTCTTTAGACGTCATCCTGCTGCCTGGGTACATACTCCTATCATATTATTTGCTTAATTTAAAATACTATTAATCTTATAGGTACAAGAAAATTGTATAGATCTTGTAGGCAGAATCGCAGATCGAGGTCCTGAGTACGTTTCCGCTCGAGAATGGATGAGGATATGCTTTGAATTGTTAGAATTATTGAAAGCACATAAAAAGGCTATTAGAAGAGCAACAGTAAATACTTTTGGTTATATTGCCAAAGCTATTGGGTAAGTTGAATTAATTAATTAATTATATTTTCTCTGTATATAAATACATACATACATTTATTTATAACTTTTTCTACTTTCTCAAATAGACCGCATGACGTCTTAGCGACACTTTTGAACAATTTGAAAGTCCAAGAACGTCAGAATCGTGTTTGTACCACAGTCGCCATCGCTATTGTTGCGGAGACATGTAGTCCTTTTACTGTCTTACCTGCATTGATGAACGAATACAGGGTACCTGAGCTAAACGTACAGAATGGAGTGTTGAAATCCTTGTCGTTCTTATTCGAATATATTGGCGAGATGGGCAAAGATTATATTTATGCTGTCAGTCCATTATTGGAAGATGCACTTATGGATAGGTAAGTTGCTCACAAATTAATATATTAATTTTATTGTGGTTATACGTAATTATACTATAAATTAATATGTTGTAGTTTAGGAATTATGTAAAAATTCTGTTATTTCTAATCGATTTTGTGATTTATTAGGGACTTAGTACACAGGCAGACTGCATGTGCTGCCATTAAGCACATGGCACTAGGTGTTTACGGTTTTGGATGTGAAGATGCATTAATACATTTACTGAATCACGTGTGGCCCAACGTTTTCGAAACATCGCCGCACTTGGTACAGGCATTTATGGATGCTGTAGACGGACTGCGTGTTGCACTTGGACCAATCAAAATTTTGCAATATACGCTGCAAGTATGTTATTAATTGAATAATGTGTTGCGCATTGCGTAAGGTTGTTTCCGACATATATCAAAGATTTCATGTTGTTTCTTTTTTACAGGGCTTGTTTCATCCGGCTCGTAAAGTGCGCGACGTCTACTGGAAGATTTATAATTCCCTTTATATCGGCGGTCAAGATGCTCTCGTGGCTGGTTATCCTCGCATCATGAACGACCCAAAGAATCAATATTTAAGATATGAATTGGATTATGTATTGTAATGCAGAACTAGAAAGAGAAAATAATTATGAGGCACAATTCATAAATTTCTAAATGCTCTACGTTGGAAACTCGCGTTGCAAGATTCAGTTTGGCAGGATCTCTGAATTCTTCAAAATAAAAACCTGAACCTTGAAAGAATTCGTTATTCTGAAATATAAGTAGAGTAAACCTCTGAATATATGTAAGTGTGCCGTTAATATAAATGTAATCAGTTTTAGCGTTTCATATAAAGGACTAAAAATTTATATTGCAGAGACATGTTATGGCGCTCTTGTAAATGTCAGTTGTGATATAAATTTCGAAGAGCTGGAAATGTATTAACAATTAAGAGGGATTAAGAACCATATTGTAACTCTAATCTTTTATATTATAATTTTTAATTCTATGTTTTTCCTCTCTTTGGAGCATTAGTTTGAATCCTAAATTCCTTGAATTTTAGATTTCTCGTCAATTAAATAAAAACCTTTAGATTCCATTGTATCTATTATTATATCTATTGTAAATAATTATCTTCTCTTGTGTTGTTTTAATTACATACAATATTAATCATAGTAAATGTATTTCGTATAGTAAGAGAGTAGAGAAACACAAATAGTTCCTTACTATATATATCAAATGATCTTTTGACTAAATATCTTCAAAATTCTAAACATGAAAGAACATTTTTCCAGCAATTTTTATTGATTGATCACAAATATACATAATCTGTTGTATATTTATCACCTTGTATTCTCTAGCTTCTTTGATGATTTTTATTCAGGAAGGATAAACATGCTGGAGATGTCCTTTGTTTCAATTGTTTTAAACGTTCCTGAAAATTAATCTTTTGGACATACAATTTTAAAAATATAAAAATAAGTTATAAAAATATATACTTAACTTTATATATCTATATTAGTTGCTGATAACAAAAAACAAATAATTAGTAAAAATTATATTTACTGAAAATAAAAACTCAAGTTCAATTAAAATATCTGTGTTATAATTATTCAATTTTTTAAAAATTAGAATTTTTTCAGAACATCGTTCATCTAGTTTTTGTTATTAGCATAGCATGATACATTAATGTATCATCACATCCATAAATTGCTAGATCGATCGAAATTATTAATCATTATTTTTTTATCCATATATTTATATAATTCCGAAAATCCATAGATGTTTTTACCTACAAATTTTAAGGCTGTTTGGAGTATTATAATACTTGTTTATAATCTTTCGCATGTGTCTCGTTAGCGTTTGTTTATTCAATATCACATTGTAGAAATCTAGAATCGCAGATCTACAAGTCTTGTTAGGTCTGAAGTTTATCATTTTTTATAGAGAATATTAATATTACTATACTTATAGATTTATACATTCATATTTTTTATGTCTACATGGTTTTCGTATATCATTGAGTTTTTCGTACTTATTTATATAATACATAGTATACAATAGATCTAGCAATTAACGGATCTGTAAGCAAGTTTCTTATATATTCCAACATAATCGTGTTAAGAATTTATTTCGACACTTTTATGTTAATTAAAATCATACAAAAGGAAATATATAAAAAATTATATGCGACGTTTATTTTACAACAGTAAAAGAAACTTTTTAATAATAATAGAAATAAATAGAGTGGGCCAAAATTATCCACAACAAAAGGCAATCTCATTCATATTTATCCTGTGTCAAAAAATTGAAGAATAATCGTATATTATTTACGAATGTTCACGTAGCACCAAACATCACACTTCGAACAATGGCAAATCGAATTGTAATATGGACAATTAATTACAGAGACCGGCGATTCTTCGATTCTTAGAACGGTTTTATAAAATGTGGCCTTATATTTTACAAAACATTGCGCGCAGTTTTGCACGCCAATTAAGAAACATGGTTATCTTATTTAATAACGTACATATTTTGGAATCCTTAGATCCTGAGATTCCAAAGTGTCAAGGGTTAAAAGTTCCAAGGACCACTGAATCGATTTAACCGTGAAATTCCCGTATGCTTATTTCTTTGAATTTTTAAATTAATTCAAATTATGTTATTTATGTCTTCTAGAGAGAATTAATATTCAAATTTTTATTAACTTTCTTCTTAATTATCAATGTAAGAGTATATAATCTTCGGGATAGATTCTTGATTTTTAACTTTTTTGGATATTTGGAAATGTGTAAAATTTCTAATGATTTAGATTTTCAAAATTTGTGAATTTGCACGAATCTTTAAATTCTGTGATAATCCAACTTTTGGAGATCCTTGTATCTTTAGACCCTTAGATAATCCAAGGATAAATATCTTTGGATCCGACTTATAACTCCTTATATATTTAACGCGAGCTGTATTTGTAGATATATTTGTAGTGATGCGATTAAAAATTACAATAACTTTGGTATGTGACTATATTGTAATATAAAGAGGCTCAGTCCTTTCTAGCGCACATCATTAATGCTTGTCGTTAATTAATAAAAATATTCAAATATTTTCATATGCTTTACGTTTTCATTACGAACATCTTTGTCAATTTCAAATCCGTTCGCACGTTAACCTGATTGTAACATAAGTGTAATAAATGATCCAATATCTACAGCTTCGAATTAAGACTATTACGTCCAATTCGTACACGCGTTAAGCGTTAAAATAACAAAGAAATAACAAATATTTTTTTAGGATATTTCCATCAGACCTGAATTTTTATTGGGTCTTAAATTCCATTGAACTTTGATCGAGTTACGTTTTAAAAAACTCGGGTCCTACATTCCTTGGATTGTAGATTCTGTAAATCTTATGTTACTTGGATCCAAAATTTTGGAAAATTTGAATAATTTGGACCCTACTTTTGAGCGCTGGGTATTTTAAGTTTTATCTTTTTTTCCTCAATACATTACAAGAAGTTACAGTCCAGATGTCTGGGGTGTAAAATATTTAAATCTTGAATGTGTTGAGTCAAAGCTCTTTGAATTATAAAAATGATTCCTCTTGTATCTCTTAAATTCCTTAGATTCTAGATTCTTTAATCCCAGCTTTTTTTAGAACTCAAATTCGTTAGATTCTACATTCCTTGGATCCTAGGCTCCTTTTAACGTACCAATTAGCGATTCGTGAGAAATAGTAATAATCTTTTTTAGTTAGAACTTAATCTTAATATGTATAATACCTTAGTAAATGGGAGTATTCAAAAAGTGTGAGTATTTAAAAAGTATTTAAAAAGTGAACGCGGGGGGAGTATTTCTAAAAATTAATAATTCTACAATACTCTTTAGATTAACACGATCGACTATCTACCTAATGGATACAACGCTCTTTGTGAAGTTTGATAACGCGGAATAGATATTAACGAAAAGAAGCGCCGACAGATTTGAAAAGTAAGAAGAGACGACAACGCCGAGCCGATACCAAGCCGAACGAACTGGACTTCCGCGAAATGTTGATCAGAAGGGTGCGACGATCGCCGTCGCCTCACCTCTGCTCGAAGGCAAGGAAGCGCACTCATGCCACTTGTTCGTGTGAGGATCGTAGCACTCAACAGTCGAGATCGTGATCTGCGTGCGATAGAAATTGATCTCTTGCGACTGATCACCGCCTATGACGTAGAGCCGACTGTCAGCTGCCGCAACCGCTGGGTATGATCGGCCCATGCTCATAGGAGCCACGCTGGTCCATTTGTTCTACAAACGCAACGGGTACGAAATGAGCATGACACGATGTTGAAAACATGTTTTCTTTAAAAAATAATTGAGTTATTTAAAATAATAGAAATATACTTAAACAATTGAATCAACAAGATGCTCAATAAAATAAAATTTGTTATACATTAATTGGTGACGTTGGATATTTCACCGATCAAAGTTATTTACATCGTGTTTTTATTACTATGCAAATTAATATGCATAACAAAACAAAATTAAATTACCTTCTCGAAAGAGTATCTTTCAACCGAAGTTAAGACTTCCTGATTTTTACTGGTGCCGCCTACAACGTACATGTATCCGTCGAGTACCGTGATACCCATTTGTGAACGTGGTGTGAGCATTGGAGCCAAGTAATTCCATTCTCTTGTCACGGGATTATAACTCATCACATCCTGACGATGTCGGCTATTATGAGTACAGCCGCCCACGACGTAAATTAGTCCTGCGGAAAGTTCGTACATTAGGATCGGTACTCACTATGAAGAAGTGGGTTCTATAATATATATCTTGAGATGCTGTTTATATAAAAGTAAAATTACGATGATAATATAATTGCAGGAAGAACCATTACCTCCATATGCGACAACGCCCATACTAAACCGTGGTTCCGGCAGATAGCCGTCGAGAGTCCACATGTTGGCGATCGGGTCGTATATTTCGATGGAACCGCCGATGTCTTCGCCTACCCATCCGCCGAATGCATACAAGCAGTTATCCAAGGCACAAAGACCGAAGTCACATCTAGGCTCCTCCATGCAAGCAATTGAACTCCAGACGTTGTCACGAGGATCGTAGCACTCGCAGTTGGCGATTATGCAAGATTCCAGCTCACCACCGACAACGTATACCTTGCCATCCAACAAAGCCACTCCCGGTAGAATGCGTCCTATGCTGATTGGAGCCACCTCGCTCCATTCTCTAGAAGCCATAAATTTATCGAGTGATCCTAATTGCGTTTATCCGGCAGAAGTAATTTATAAACTACGAAAAAAAAACTGATCGTTTACTTAATCCTGTCTTAATATTGGCTTTAGTGTCAATTTCGACTTCTTATCATGATAATGGCGAATTCTGAAAAATACATTAGTATTTGTGTTGATATATTAAAGAGGAATCATAAAAACTATCGTATGCAGAGATGAATGAATTGAAATTACAAATGTTTTAATTAACGCAATTGTCAAAACCTATAATGGGATATTTTATGTAAGATATTTTACTGATTTTTTTAACTGCTTACATGTTATATATTAAATTGATGCAAAAGACGTGCCAATTAAGATAGAAATTAAAATTATCCAATCTCAAAGAATTAATTATTCTTATGAGTAAAATGAACAACATTGATTTGATATGTTTTAGATTAGACATCTTTTTTAAACAAGGATTTTTTATTTTTCCTTTGATAATCAAACTTTCTTCACAAATTTAATAGAAAAATGATAAGTTTTTTGCATCAACTCAATATATCATCTTTTCTGTAAATTTATATAGAATAACCTTTAAAATACATTAGTGCAATTTTAATCTAAATTCACTGTAATAGAAATATCGTCGTACCCAGTGAATATGTCATATTTCTCAATAGTTTCATAAGTACTCTCGGCGGTCCTGCCCCAGCTGTCCGCAGAATGTTCTCGCTTAGATCCACCAATCACCAAAATGTTCTTCCTGGCACAGACGCGGGGCTGAGCATGAAGAGGCACCAAGCAACCTTTATTTGAAACTAAATCCTTTTGTATAGATCGCAGCGCGACGATGAGACTCGCATCTTTGCACTCCAGGATAATTCGCTCCAACCTTGCTAATGAACACAATCGCAAGCGTATGTGGCCGAGGACCTCAAACACGTAGCATCTCCGCGCGGGAATGTCGTGTACGATCCAGTTGTACGCCGCCTGGAAGACCTGCGGAAAACGAAAGGTAGACTTTAATATCAGAGTTTTATGACTAAAAAGATGCCCGAGTATCACAATAAGATGATGACTATCTGTTGTCATTCCAACAGATGGAATAATTTTTGATCCAGACTCTGAATCAATGTCAGATTGTGATCACTTTTAGATGCAATAGATCGATAGATTTTTTTTTCTCATTTTTGAGATATAAACAATACATTTTTAAAATCTCTAGATATATCTTGGCTTATTTTTAAGATCTGAAAGATTGAACATTGCATAGAATGCTCAAATTATTCTATAATTATTCTATAATTCTCTTAGAACAAACCTGGCATTCGGTATCAATGTGAATGTAATCGCTACTGAGAAAATTAACAAGATGTTCCTTGGGCAAATCCAGAAATTCTTCCTCTTGACAGACTTGAGGAAAATTGACTTCTATAAAGCGTAGGGCAGTCTCCAAAAGATCCAGTCTGTTATGCGCTTCCGCAAATCTGTGATTAACAACAATGACGAGTAGTTGCTTAATTTCAGATTTTTATGATGTTTTAAACATTGAAACATATTATATAAATACACGCAAAACTTACACGTTAACAAACACGATAGACAACGCTTTCATTTATAGGCTTACCTGTAAATTCCAAGGGCGTTAGAATAATGCAGCTGCTGTTTGAGATAGGAGATACAGCCAGACACGACATCATCTAACTCCAACATGTCAGCAGCAGCAAATAGCTCCTGCACATTATCCTGCGTGATATCTACATTGCCACTGTAAATAAAGTCCACTAATTGGGAGAGAATGTGAGGCGAAACTGAGTGAATCTCCACCAGCTCTTGTTGCTCTTCGACCAAACCAACAGTGAACATAGCATTGAAATAGGCACTGCCAGCAGCCAGAACTGATCTGTGTGCTCTAATAATGCTCCCACCAGCTACCAGGCCTACATCGCTGAATTTGTTTGCCAGTCTTTGCGCATTGAGATTATGTAGAAGTTTTGGTGGATACTGTCCTACAGTGTACACGATGTTGGAGACGTCGGATGGTTGCTTCACTTGCTGGTTAGTAAAACCCATGTTAGAGTTATGGCCATTCTTCAGAGTTGGTGCTACACCATCCGCCATGAAACCATCAAGCTGTCCTTTATCCATAGATCCTGTGAGAAGAAGAGATTTAAGGAAAAATAATACTAATTTTCATAAATGTGTATTTGGCAAATGTTTCACTAAGTTTATCTTAATGCTTAATATATATATTATAAAAATATTATAACTATTTTATTATATAAAAATTTTAGAATTTGCTGTAAATATAAGATATTTATAAGTACTACTGGTAAGAACATTATATTTAAAACATAATATAAGTAACTAACTTTATAGCAAACTTTAAAGACAATGATACCTTCAAGCATTTACATGCTCTGTTTGTTTTAATTTGGAAAAACATTGACATCTATTATAAGAAAACTACAAAAGTATGACTATAATTTATCAGGTAATATTAGACATTACTTCTGATAGCAAGTAGTATTTTAAAAGTATATGAATCTAACAGTACAAAGATTAATTGGAATGGTTCAAAGTACTGTATAGACATAAATTTTAAAACTTTAGTTGCAGGAGATAAACTTCAAAATATGAATATATTTATATACATGAATATATCAAAAAATTAATTTTTTAATTTTCTAATAATTTAACTTTAAAACATAAGCTTTTAATAATTAAGAACTACATAGAGTAAAGTAAGAAATATGAGCGATATCCTTGACATTGCAACAATCGCATTTATAAAATATTTCTTCCATCGATCATCTTATTTAATTAGCAACTTAATTATTGAAGGATATATATCTGGCGAAACACTTACGACATAGACGAGAAAGCACCCTGTAGACACTGTGGAACGACTTTGTATTATTTTTCCCCTTTAGGCGCATCACTACCACCGCATTTTTGGCCAATTCGTCACTTGATTTTTAAGTGTTGCACGTGAATAAAAATCGTCCTTCGCTATGCTGCAAAATCACTTCACTTTGCTTGAAGTAACAAATTTTTTAACAAGAAACTTGACAGACATCAAATAACCTATTTAAGTACGTGAAATTAGCTACCAGCTGAGGTTGCTCAGTGAGGCAGGAATTGCTCTAATGTAGCCACAGAGAAAAATCCCTACTTAATCCGTTACTTTTCCCTAGCGATTTCAAATAGCGAATTCGATTGGAAGCCAGTAGTGTACACTAGTGCACACTAAAGGCACCGATGAGGAGGTACTAGAAAAGACCGTCGGCCTTACGGGCTTTAGCGATACGGAGAAATCTTTCTCACTGTACATTTTTATATTTCACCTTTTTCTTATATCCTGTATTCTTACAGTTATAAAAAAATTAATTAAAATAATAGAATTGTAAGTGCCTCGTGCTCCATAAACCGCTCCTACCCACACATCGTCTTGTCTCTTTCTACATCTGTCAATACGATTTTGGCACAATGACTTGGTTTACATTGGTTGCTTTCCAACAAGAGACACAAGTCAACACAAGTATCATCCTATCTTTGTTACTCACTAAATGTGGAAAAAGATAGAATGATGTTTGTGTCGACTTGTGTCTCTTGTTGGAAAGCAACCATTGTACACTTGATACGCGTACTAAATAGTAACTTTCTATTAGATAATCTTAATATCGACAATATATATAAACAACGGTATATTAAGTTGGTATAATACTCATCAACGAAACGTATTGTATTGATTGAATGAGTCGCCGTTGATATGTATTGTCGATATTAAGATTATCTAATAGAAAGTTACTATTTACGCGACTATTTACGTTATTATTTATCAAGTGCACGATGTAAACCAAGCCTATGGATCTGTTCTATTGCTGAACTGGCTGCACTAGTTCTCTTTTATCTTTCTTCCACTAAATTTTTTATGTATATATCTGTCTCTTTTTAAGTTCTAAAAGTATACACTAGTTCAACAATAGAAAACAGACTCTATAAATATAGGCAAAAAAAACTCGCCAAGATCTGATAAAAGTTAACAGATGATGTGGTTAACGCTAAGAAAAGTTAATTTTAAATTCCATTACATAATTTTTTGTTAAAACTTTTTTGTTAAAAATAAAAACCGTTAATATGTAGCTGTAAGAAATAATCATATAGACTTTAATTCATAAAGATACATTATACATATAGATCTTTATACAGAAAATACAATTACGTATTTATGCCGCATTATTTGGATAGTTTTCCTTCTCATCTTCGCACTTTTGAATGATACCTGAAAAAAACAATCGTATCTTCTCTCTTTTTCTTACTATCTACAAAGATATTTATCAAGATAATATTTCATAATAAAATACATTAAAATCTTACGTTTGCAAATATTGTTTAAAGCGTCGACGGTTGGTGAATTTGGCATCTCCGACAGAAAGTTTCTACCTTCATCACAACATCTGGCGAGTAATGGGTCCAAAGGTATTGAGCCTAAGAACTCTACATTCAATTCCTTTGACATCATCTCTGCACCACCTGTCGAGGCTGGGAATATTTCTGCAGTATTCTACGTGTAACACAAATATTTTATTAATTTCTTAGATATTATTCAAGCTACTGTTCTTACCTTGCATTTAGGGCACACGAAAATACTCATATTCTCAACCACACCTAAGATTGGAATGTTCACTTTTCTGCAAAAGTCTATTTCTTTTCTAACATCTAAAAGGGCAATTTGCGGCGGTGTTGTCACAATTATGGCACCTGTAATACCAGTTCCTTTGAGGTACGATGTAGCAGACAAATGCTCGTCAGATGTGCCAGGTGGTGTATCCAATATCAGATAATCCAAGTTACCCCAGTCGACTTCCGACAAAAATTGTCTGATCATACCTGTGCATATATATATATTTTTACATAGTGTATATGAATAATCATACTATGTAATAAGAATTGTAAAAAACAAAAAGAAAAATCTTAAATACAAAGTTTACCATTCTTTTTTGGTCCTCTCCATATAACTGCATCACTTGGGCTACCAAGTAGAAATCCAATAGACATCAGTGACAAGTTGTCCTCAATATACTAGAACAAATATCATTTGATTAAAATAATCACAAGTTGATTTAATCACAAGTAACAGAATAATAAACATTTCATGTAAGTTTTCTATTAGCATATTTTGTTCTGACTAATTTACTCACTACAGGTGACCATCCAGATCCACTGTGATGTACTTGTTCACCAAGTGCTCCGAGTACTCTTGGCTGTGATGGTCCACAGATGTCAATATCCAATACTCCGACCTGTATATATAAAATATAAAGATAACATTTGAAACTTATAAAAATTAAAAATTGAGAATTGTAATTGTATTCTATGTGCATTTTGAGTCTATTTGAATTATTAATAAGTGGGAACACCAAAAGTTTGATAATCAATATGGCACTGGCACAGGTTGATACGATATACATAGCTAATCAGTTAACTATAGATATTCCCTGAGTCTAAAGTTATTTTCTGGAAACTAGCTGGCAGAATTCATCATGCTAACATGTACATTGAAAATCATATGGATGTTCTGGGAATGGGCAGAAGGGTGAGTCAATGTGCAATATCTTATTAATTCTATCATATATTAATGTGATAGTTAAATATAACTATAAAATACATATATATTGGACATAACCAAGAAAAATTAAGTGCAGAATATGAAAAATTGATTAGATGTTCCTTTCAAGTAAAACATGTAAAAAGTACATATTATTTTTATGCTCTAGACTTATGATTATTTGTATAATCAGCTATAGTTACATTTTTGTTGAGATTATTTGCTGCAAGGCACCTAGATACCAGTGATGTCACAGTACTCTTGCCTACTCCTCCTTTGCCTGAAAGTACCAAAAGCTTATTCTGCACTGAGGAAAGTCTTTCTTTTATAAGCTTTATGCTAGGATCAGGTTGTGTAGCAGCTCCAGATGAGCATAACGACTGATTTGGACAGCCAGCACATGCTGAAGCTTTTCCAGCACTTTCACTCTGCGTTCCAGGACAATCTGAAAAGATATTTCACAAATATATATTTATAACAAATATAGATTTATAACATTATAAAAACAAAATTGAAATATATAATGGATTCTTATCATGTAACTGCTTCAGATCATATAACAATTAAAACATTATTTGTTTGTAATATTACTGTTTTTCATTATTCTATATCTAAATTATATTTTTCAAATATTGCAAAAAATATTAAAAATAAAATACTATAGTGACAGTGTAATCTAACCTAACCTATTCTTTGACTTTGACATTTGAAATATCATAAACAAGCGATAACGACGTATAAATGATATATTATTGATCGTATGATTTCAACGAATAAATAAATAAATCTTTAGATAATCCAATTTGTACTTAAAATTAATTAAAATTAAATCGGATGTGTTTACGTTCAGGAGCTTCTGCAGGTACGTCTGCCATGTTGAATGTTTCTAACTTTTCTAATGATATCTATAAAGATTTTATATGTAAGTAGTTTTTAGTGATAATTTAGCGGCTTATTAATGGAAACTGAAGAATGTAACTTTTTGCAGACAAAATAACTATATATAACTCAATTTCCTATAATTATACCTTTTCTTATGTAAGATTATAAAATAATAATTAAAATAAACGTTTATGTCACTATTAATTTCAGTAATATATTAACAAAGCAATAATCTCATTAATATGGTACAATATGTGCCGTTTACATTCAATTTGTTAAGCAAAAAAGAAAAAGATGCAAAATGCTACAAATATTTTTTGTGTACATATTTCAATTTGTAGCAATTGCAACCATGGAGTACAGTCGGGGCTTCGATGCCTTATATGGAACCAGTAGTTCCAATTCGTATAGGTGATTACACCCGTATGCACAATTTACTGCCATGGAGGCCAAATGTAGGATTTGAAAATACAGAAGTTATTCCTTTGTGAGTACGAATTCGATTTTCTTTCTTAATTAGTTGAAATTCTTTCTTCATTGGCCACAATAATGCAAAATCTTAAATGTAGTTCTCTTTGTTCGATACTTTTATGTATATAGATAATGATATTGATCTAACAAACTCTATGTGTGCGTAATGTTATTCCGCGTATATCGTATTTTTACTGGTGTTTGCAGATAACGAGAGAAAGAGAGAGAGTGTAGATATAAATGTGATAATTATATTGTCCTCGCAGGGCCACAAAGTCTATATCGAATTATGCGCTAGATACAAGCAGTAAGATGGCTACTCGACCGTTAAAATTTCCAAACCTGATAACGGGCTATCAACGCAATCCCGTTCATGCATCGCAAGCCGCCCTTTATACGAGGTATACGCCGCATGAGTGGTTTCAGAAGCAGGTGAAATATTACAATGAGGCGGACTCGCAACGACATTATTCTGAAAGGATGCGAGGTGACGCTTTGAGAATTATCAGGTATAATAAGTTTCTTGTGAACATTTTTTTATACAAATAATGTGGTCTTACATGTGATAAACATCTCTTAGAAATGCTGAAGAGAAGATACAACATGGTCAGTACGACACTAATAGAAGGCTTGGTGAACGGATCAGTGACGTTACTTTTTGGCGTAATGAGGTGTCGTCGGAGCTGGAGAGGATGCTTCATGAGATCGAGAGACTTCAGGATTGTCGATGTGTTTTGGAAAAGGCGATACGAGACATTGAAGGGCCTTTACATATCGCCGAGGAGTGTCTTTACCACAGAGAAGCTAGAAAAGGTATGTTAAATGTTAGAAAAGTATCTTTAATTTGTATAATTATGTTTTGTGCGCCACATATTATATATTGACAATAAGAAATCTATTTTATTATATATTATTTATTATTATTCAAATATATAAACGGATAATCCATTTGACATAAAGGAAGAAAAAAAATATAATGATGATAATAAGATAAAAAAGATAATACGATAAAGAAGAAGAAAAAATATTATATATATTTTAAATATTTCTTATATATGTGTGAATTATATGTTTCTTATATATGAATTATATGTTTCTTATATGTAAATTATATATGTTTCTTACATATAAGTTATTCTATTATGAGTATTTCTTCAGGGACAGAATTAGTGCACGATGATTCGGAGAAATGTTTACTACGAGAAGTGGAAAATCTGCGGACAAACCAAAAGAAGCTGGAAGCCTGTTTGGATAGATGTAAAGATCAGGTGTGTAGACTTTATACTTCGATATCTTTTTTGCATAATTGACCAACGCGAATCAATTTACTTGATTTAATTGTGTTTGCAGTTACGAAATTGCAGAGCCTCGCAAAATCAATTAGAGTTGGACCTAAAGAACAAGGAGAGTGCCTTAGGGATAGACACTGTTTGTCATCACTTGCATAATCAGAGTCACGGATTGCAATATTATTCGGGAATTGAGAAATACGATCCATGGTATCGAATGATAACATTTGTGTATGATTCCTGTGGCATTATTGTAAGTAAACGTTATTGTTTGTTAGTGTTTCAGAGCAAGAAACCTGGGCAGATGCGGCGAATAAGATAGTCCAAAGATCTCAAACGGAACGCAACAAGTCATGTCAATTACGCACCACTGCCGAAAGTCTCGTCAATAAAGTTTCTCAAGAAATGTGGAACACGTGGAGTACTACTAATAATGCTTTAACGCACAGATCTTCCGAATTACTTGAAGCTAAGAGCAAGCTTCAACAGCATTTACAAAAGGTAACAAAAAAGATAATAAACGTGTCTCTTCAGATTAAATGCGACTCGTCCTACGTTACAGGTACAACAAGAGATATATGATGTGGAAAAGAACTTGGAATTAATGCGTAAAGCTATCGCTGACAAAAGTTACGCGACTAAAGTCGCACACACGAGGTTGGAAGCGAGGATGCATCGGCCTGATATGGAGTTATGTCGCGATTATGCTTACGTGAGGTACGTACCGTGTATTTCTAACATTATTATTAATATTTCATATGCCAATGACCAAAAAACGGGCAGAGTTGAGTAAATTAATATATATATATATATATATATATATATATATATATATTTTTTTTTTTTTTTTTAACTAAGTTAAATTTAAAATTTTTGTTTGATGAAATTAACTTAGTTAAGTAAAAAATTGCGTAAACGCGAAAACTGAATTAAAAGTTAAGTTAAAATTTAAATAACTATTAAAACTAAAAGTTAAAAAACAATATATGTTTTCTTCATAATTAACTTTTTAATCATAGATTAAACTTATGTAAAATAATGAAAAAATAATCTTTGGAAAAAATATAATTGTTTTGTACTCAGGATTCCATACAAGAATTTAGAGAAACGAAAAAGAATTTTGCTGGCATTATTTTTTATTTTATTTTTATTCTACATTGTAAGCAATCCACAATGATTTTAATATTAATGAATTATTTTGTCTTACATAAAAACAAATTAATAAGTTAGAATGTATCTTGAAAAATAGCTAGTTTAAGTTAAAAGTTGACTTATTTAAAATTAAGCAAATTAAAAGTTATTAACTTTTTCACTCGACTTTTCACTGATCAACTAGTTATTATCCAATTCCAGAAATGAGACACGGATTAAAGTATTACTCTTTTATTTTGTAGCCTTCAGAAAGAGATTGACGAGATAAATTATCAACTTGAACGAATGCATAAGACGCTGAAAGAACTTGAAAATCAACATCAGAAATTGTTAAGGACACGAACCATGTTGGAGCACGATCTCGCGCTTAAAATCGATGCGATATATATCGACAGAGAAAAAGTCTGCGGTCTTAGACGCGCGTATCCTGTTAATGCACTGTTTAGATTTTAAAAGTATGTTTATTTTTTGTTAATAACATAATATATAATTTTGGTAATAACATAAATATATAGATATTTTTTTTTGTTGATTATATATATATACAAATACTGCCATTTATATTTATCAAAATGTTTAATAATGTTATTGGAATATCTCTTAGGCAAAGTTAGACTCTATAGAAACGAAATCTGTACGATTTTAGCTGTATGTATTTTACTAAAACGTACTATTTAGATATTAAAGATATCCTCTATTAATGTTATATTATTCTCGGTATAAATACTGCCACATATATGAAAATATTTAATTGCTATTGGAATGCACTCCTAGAGAAATTTAGGCTATGTGATATTTCCATGCATCCAAAGAATTTGAAAAACAGAAACAAAAATATTTATTTGTTTGTACAATTATAGTAACTATTGATAATATATTTACGTTTCACTTTGTCAAGTGACTTTTGACATAACTCGGCACAGGCAGTTCAAATCCTGGTTTAGCTTCAAAAAATGTATAAGAGAGAATTATTTCATCAGTAAATTCCATTTTTGGATCCTCTGCAAATTCTGGATCAATGTAAAAGAACACTGGCATATCAACCTTAAAATACAAGAAACATTAATTTGTAACATTGTTTACAATATAGACTTATTTAAATATACAATATGTATATGACTTATATAATGAAAATAAAAATTAATATCCAAAGTAACAATAAATTTTTGTTAAATATATAGAAGTTAACTGCTATATATTATATATATATATATATATATATATATATATATATATATATATATTCAATGTTAGTATAATATTAATAATATTAATAAACATACCTGTTCATGAGGATTAAGCATTTGCTCTTCGAAACAAAAGCATTGTATTTTGTTGAAATATTGTCCTACTTCAAAAGGTACAACATTATAAGTAGATATTCCTATAATTTGTGTATCTGTTGGATTTGTGGCTGTGTAGAATGCTAAAGCTGTTTCTCCAGGAACAACTGTGATCTCCATTTGCTGCGGTTTAAAATGCCACTGCATTGACGCTGCAATATCTGCAGTAAATTTAATTTTAATTTTCCTATTTTTGACAGGTGACATTGTGCTAACTTTGCTAGTATCATGACCAGTTTTTATTGTTCCACCATAACTGTATGCCTGTACATAGTAAAACAATATATGATAGATTATATTCATATCTGTAATGATGATAATTATCTATTGTGTTTTCTGATAAGAACAAGATTATGAGTTTAAAACTAATATATTGCTATTCTTATATAACAATTGCAATACCTGGCAGAACATTCTGTACAAAGGTACTGCAGAATAACTCAATCCAACTACTAGAACTCCGAGTCCAGTCCAATATAAGGCTGTAGAGCGCAATTTCTTTTCGACCAAGTTGTCAGAGTGTGATTTCATTAAATTTTGTGACACACTAGTGTATATCTGTCTGGTGCAAGTCCGTGTCAACCGTTGACAAAAATTAAAATACATTTTTTCTGAATTTTCTAGTACGATTCTGCATAAAAGGAACCACCACTTCTAACCTTCAAAATCGTTGAATATAAGCCTTAGTTACACGTTATTTACATTTAGATTTTTCTCAAAAGCATAATCATATTAAACGATGTATAAGTGCAATTTTTTCTAGCAATACACAAGTGTCAATTCCAGTCAATTCAACATTATAAAGTTTTGACAAAATTGAAAAGATAACATTGAATTATCGCCGTGTGTCATGCAGGATTCCATATTATCTGATATTATTTGTGACACTACCACTGATCGATACAAGTTGGCACATGTAACTAGCGCCAAGAAATCTTGAAATCTACGGCACCGTCTTAAGTTTATCTTCAGATGTTTTGTAGCCAATGAAATCATCTGTAGACTATCTAAAGATGATCTTAAGACGGACTTAAATATAAAATCCGACTATGAATACTGATTATATTTTATAAATATGTATGCGCATATCTACTACACAGTAATTTTGTAACTTTCTGCAAGTTACATTTCAAGTTATCTGCCGAAGAGAGCATTTACATCAGCATTTACCGGATGGTAAAACAGTCGGTAATGTCGAGAGCATTAAGATTAGAGAAGCGTGACCACAGCGGTCACAAGTTATCTGCGGTCGGATATGAAACTTTCCATTCAAAAAATATCCGTTTGTCAATAACTTTTGATACGTTCGGCGAGGACGTTACAAACGGACGTGAGTGCCGGATCGCCGCCGGGAGTGTCGAAAGTAAGTTTTGCGCGAGTTTATTACGGGAAAATACGCGAAGTAGCAGTTGTGAGCCGATACTAATCGTATCTAAATTCCATATATTTGTTACGTCGTGGCGCGGTCTTTTTATCCCAATTAGCGATCCTTGATCCGTATATCCGCGAGCTTTACGTTTGCGTGAACTTGTCAAAGTTCCGCGGGCAAATTATCGTCGTCGAGAATGCAACAAGTAAATCATGCACGTTGTCAGAAAATATCGTGAAATATTGTGAAACTCTCAGAGTTCACTCGAGAGTGAATGTCTCGCCGGATCGTTGTCGAAAATGCTGACTGAAGTTTGCACGCGTTCGTCCGTTATGGCGGTTGAAAATTCAACTTGTTGCGTCTTATGCGTTTGATATTTCAGGAAATCTCGTTCGCAAATTGTCATCGGGTTTGCCAAGCGACGATAGTTTCGAAGGCATTTGGCCGAGATCATCGTGAGAGGATTAAAGGACAACTAATTAACAAGAGTACGTAGTGAACTGTTTGTAAAAAGTAATTTATTTCGTACATGTTTGCTGTATGAATTAATATGATTTTCTTTTTTTGCATTTTATAGTGCACGAGTCTTCTCTACGAATTCACGTTTTTACGATATTTCATCCTGATAGTCGGTTTTTTGTCAATGTGCACTGGTAAAGTAAGTTACAATTATATATGACCCTTATAGAAATATCATACTAAGAATCATTGATAATTACTTATTATCCAGTATTTTTAATACTGAAAATAAGTAATTATCAATGATTCTTAGTATGATATTTCTATAAGGGGAGGCAACCAATCATATCCCTCCAATATTGATTATTAGATTCTTCATAAGTACCCAAATATTTCTTGAAAAAGATTAGTTCCTCCTTATTTAGCTATGTAATGGAGAGCTGTAGTGTTATGTGCAACTTATATGTCACTTTTAGTTATGAACATAGTAAAACAATTAATAACTATTTGTGGTTGAGCGTTTAATAAGCAGTTGATAATTAATAACACAATATATATTATCTAATTAATAATAATACATTATTCCCTAACCGTATTATATCTTGGCAATAGTTATTTAATTATATGTGCACTTGGAGAAAAAGACAATGACAACTATATAGGTGACAACTGTTTAAGTGAAGATTATATAAATTTTGTATATAGAATTAATATATTAGATTTAGTAAATTATTTAGTAGTTATTGCAATTAAAGCGAGGTGGTTATGAAACATAGTTATTATATAATCCTTCTAATTATTTAGTTTTAGTTGCAATAACTTCAAATTAGTTTTTTAAATTATATTCATTAATTTTACATATACTCATATAGTTGACACCTATATAGTTTTTATTACCATGTCTTTTTCTTTAAGTGTGATGTTCATATTTATTATATTACTAAAGAAAAGCAACGACTAAAGTTTTTTTTATACAATTAACAAGAAAATATTTCTCTTGTGCGTGTAATATTTATAAATAGTTGCAATAAATATGCGTGGAAATTTATAAAAAAATATGAAAATTAATCTGTAAGTTGCACATAATGTACAGCATTTGAATACCAATTATTTGTGTAATATAGATACAGAAAATGTTTTTTTTTTCACTTATATTCAAAACACAAATATGTAGTAGGGACGCAATATAATTACATATATGCAAAACAATAATGGATTATATCTATATGATTAGAGATCATAACTTTAAACTAATATAACAACTCTGGGAAGATTAGATTCAAGAGTACAACTGAACTTTTTTTATATTATTTGAATATTATTATAAATACGCTTTACACAACATAATAATTCATGACAGAGTTCTATCTATAATTTTACGTGGCTAGTACAGAAAAATTCGGAAATTTATAAATACTTATATGTATCCACACATACATCTTTAAATATAATTTTGGTTCTTTAAATATTTCTTCATAAATAGAATTCTGTCTGTTAAATTCTGTTCTGAATGGATACAGAATATTAAAATTTAATTAGGAGTTAAACGCAAAAAGAAAATTGTGAAAAAATTGTTAAAAGCATACTACAATTAAAAGATTCTCATACGTCATTTATACATTTTGCAAAATGGGAAGAATCATAACTGCATATTGATGCATATTGCAGTAGATATAATTGCATATTAATCATCATTTAGGTACCTGCAACTGATAATAACATATGATTTATGCGTTATATCTTAAAAATTGAACAATGAACCCTTTTTATTCCAGCTTAGTTGCATTTTATGAAATTGTATCGTGTGTGTATGGTATACAAATATTATTCATGATGGAAAGAAATTTAAAGACAGTCGCTGAGACATACCTCACACGCTCATTCTTACTTTCGACTGTGGCTTTTTCTCGCGATCTTTTGCTAAACTGAGAACATTAGGATTGGTCGTTATTGAATCACACAAAGCATGTAATTGTTCGTATGATAATAATCTGCACAAAGTGCTAAGTGAAAGTTAAGTAGGTCTCTAAGATTATCGTAAACGCATTGCATACGCGCATTTCGCATCGCTTATTCTATTGAAAAACTATAATACTCGAAACTTCAAACGTAAAAACTAGAGCGTATGTTTGGCACGATCAAGAGGTATTTTCAATCGTTTTGTAATATCTATTTTCGTCGATTACTCTGACCCTGAAACATAAAGCTCATGGCAAAACGCGATAATGCGATTCTCATGTTTTATATTTATATTTATGTGACTTGATAAAGAAGTAAAAATAAAATAAACTATTCGTAGTGAAAATGGAATGTCAGATAAGTTGTCTGTGTGCTATTTTTTATGTGAAATTCCGGAATGCATTTGTCTTGCTTAATGGGAAAATTATCAAAAAATAGCGGACAACTTGTCTGACTGCGAGTGTACATCCACTGACGACGATTTATTCCCTGCTTGATGTGGAGGTGAGCAAGTCCAAAAGATATCTATTTTGTTCCATCTAGTAGAATCATATAACAAATAAAACTCATATACCGGGTATCGTAAGAAGAACGCATTAATATAATATGTGTATTAATATGTGCCGATATGACGTATCTATATATAATAATATTTAATAAATATGTCTTTTTTTATAGATTATTATAATATATAATATATTATAGTATATTATTATAGTACAATTTATAAAATATATAAACATTTTGTTAAATATTATTGTATGGAGGTACATTATCGCGGTGCTTTATAATATTATATATATTAATGCATTTGTTTTGCAATATCCAATATATGACTTTCATGTATATGGCTGCGTTCAGTAAATACAACAAATAATCGAGTTTTAGAAAATGAATTGATAGATCTAACTCAATAAACGAAGAACATTAGATCAACATCTTAATCTTTTTCTCCGTTCATACAAATATTATAATAAAATATGTAAGAATAATATATCATAAAATATAATATATTAAAAGTATCTTTTTGTAAAATAAATCTTTGAATCAATTGTGAAATTGGGAAAACGTTTTTCGGTAAAGATCAAGATACAAGAGATAAAAACAGTCGCATTATCTCGTTGCCATGACTTTTATTTTTCAGTTTCCTAACGGGGCCAATTTATCCGCATTCTTTGTTACACGAAGTTCGTCTTACAAAAGTTGAGACGGATTTAATTATGGCCATTTGTTCTTATGTACAATTTAAGTACCTAAATTTATGGATGCACCATTTACATGCTGCGCAGTCTCACTATTGTGTTAGCTAGTCGCACGTATCTACGATACGATATTGGTGGCGAATTTATTATTTTCCAGCAAACATAATGACGGCAAATGACATTTTAATGACACGATATATGAAACGTTAATAATACGTCATTAATACGTTATTTAACATCATCCTGATACTTGGGTTTCTTCTAAAATCAGAGGCAAGCACCTGGACGCTGTACAACACTGTACAAAACTCGCTATAAATTACTGCTACACGCAGAAAATTTTTCTCGAATAATATGGCATAATAATATAATTTCCCAGACTATTATTATACGATTAGGATATATGTATATTCAAGCAAAAACCTATTCTCTGTTAGCCAATAAACCAATAGTTTCATCAGATCTATTTTGTAACCTCGAGATATACAAATTTATCATACCGGTAAGGAAATAATACAAAATTAAAAAATGCTCTATACTTCTAAGTAGAATATTTTCTGGTTAATATTGGAAAATTTTATCTCGCGTGGTAACTATTGTGTAACGTATATTATTACCATAGTATTGTGCATATATGTGCGTCTATGTTCAAACTTGCGCTCGCAGTTCCTAGGTTCTTACTTTCTTTCCACAGAACTTTTACACAGAAGTCCCATACTTGGTGGGAAAAAATATCCTGACGTTTGTGTTTCTAAATTTCTCATACTGTTTTAAAACTTTGTCCATACTCCCTTAACATTATTTCGACATTATAAGTATCTTAGCCGGGCGAAACTATTATAGTATTTCTTCGGATCGTGAATGACTAATTTCGACATTTTCGAGAAAAATTTTCTGTGTGTTTTATTTGGCACGACTTCTCGATAATCATACGTATCACGAACATCG